CAAAAAAGCTCAGGGACAGCACCCAGGCATTGCGTTCAAGCCCCAGGACTGGCACCAGGGGGAAATAAATTCTCAAATTATGGCTTGGGTTTCAGCTTTGAACTAAGCTCATTTAAGGAAAAACCAAACATCCCAGACTCTTTATAAACTATCTGCACTGGAATGTGTCATCCATTGGGTAAGGCTGGGCAGAGAGTACTGCCAACCTTTGCTCCCTTTTCCCTGGACTTGGATCCATTTCAGAGCCAGCTTGTTCCTGCAGGTGGCTTATCAGGCCTATAGTCATTCTGGCTTCCTTTCCCACCTAAGCCTGCTAGTAGAATGTCTCCTTCCCCATGTCTACAAAGGCCCCCTGTCTTGTTGCTTTAGAAATCCTAGTCTCAGGACCTTGTGGAAGGAGATGAAGAGGGTTACAGGTTGAATATGACTCATGCGCTGGGGCCCCGGCAAAGCATCTAGTTGAACTCAGGGAATATAATCCTTATCCCAGGTTCTTGGAGATGTCCAAAGGCACCTGTAATTCTTCTTCACCTATTACCATGGGGCATAGGCTGACTGATGAACCTAAGGGCTACCCTTGTGTGAGGGACATATTCCCAGGATCCTTTGAGACAGGTGACTATCTGCTCCCCAGCCTTCCTTCCCCCATGAAGCAGAACAACCAGACCACCTGCACCTGCTGCGGCCTTCATTTCACCTGCTGCCTTGGCCAGTCAGCTTCCTGAGCACTTGGCAGTGTGCTCAGAAGGCACGCTTAGTGACCCTCTAAGCCAGAGGCATGGTGCCTCCGTTCATTAGAGTATCTATGGAGCTCTGTTTGTTTGACACAAATGAGTGAGCGTTTGAAGGTCATGGGGTGACAATCTTCTGTCCAAGACAAACAGGACTTACATTGGCCACCCTGTCCATTTGTAGTATGGAGAACTCCCTTCCCTCCAACACACTTTAGTACACAAATAAGCTGAACTCATAAACTGAAAGAATATTTAGAAAGAGGAGACGGGCTTAGCATTTGGATTTGAACCCTAGGATATCTAGGGCAATGGTCTTGGGCTTCTATGGAGCAGGTCTTGTCAAGTTCAATGCTTTAATTAGGTAGCATGCATATCTGGGCTTACTGACTGTAGGAAAGTTCTAAGGAGTGGAAACTTGTTCCAATTCCTTCCTTAAATAAGACAGAGTCCTCGGGACCTGCGTGCTTTCTCTCTCACTGCTCACTGCCTGTCCCAGCCCAGCCCAGGGATTACTGCAGATCGCTTTGCCTCTATTATAGTAGTTTGTAAGCTGCTGCCCCGGCCACTGCATTCAAATTCCAATGTATACTTCCTAGTGTAAAAAAAAAAAATTATATTATTGTGTTGTGGGTTTTTTTTTGTACATTGCTGTATCTACTTTAACTTCCAGAAATAAAAGTTATATAGGAACTGTCTGAAAGTGTGACAGCTGTGTGTGGGGCTGGTGGTGGTGCTCTTTTCTCTGATTACATTCTGAAAAGACCTTTTTGCACAGACCAGTTAGTTTTTTTTGGGGTCCGGTCGTGAGGCCTGAACTCTGGGCCTGGGTGCTGTCCCTCAGCTCTTCAGCTCAAGGATAACGCACTACCACTTGAGCCACAGCGCCTCTTCCGGCTTTTTATCTTATGTGGTGCTAGGGAATCGAACCCAGGGCCTCATGCATGCAAGGAAGCGCTCTACCACTGAGCCACCTTCCCAGCCCTGCACAGACCAGTTAGGAGCACAAAAGAGTGACCAGGAGACCCCAGAGCTGAGGCTTCATGGCTGAAGTGATACAGGTGGTGGCATCAGCCACCAGCCTCCAGATGGAGGGACTGAGGGGACAGAGTGTCCAGTGGCAGGAAGGTGTCAGAATAGCCTCCTCCCTCCAAGGCTGCTGTATCCTGTCTGGAGTCAGATAAGCTACTAAAGGGGGTTTGTGCAGATCCTGTCCCTCCCCCAGGCCTCTCTTCCACAGTTGGGTCATTATCACTTTCTTTTCAGTTCACTGGGGGGGGGGGGGGGGGGGGGGGTGGGGGGGGACCACAACTTGCATACTCTTCACTGGCTGGTTGATGAGAGGCCCCTAGGCGGTGAGTAGTGATAATTCAGAGAAAGGCCACAGACAGCAGAGCCATCTCTCAGCTTCTCCGCCCTCCTCCACTCACAGGGCTGTGCCATGGTGACTGCTTGTGTGAGAGATACCAGCGCTTCCCTTCCCCTGCCTCTGAGAGATGGAAGTGAGATTTAGGGCTGCCGAGGTGCAGCAGCGCCCACTTTCATCCTGCTCACCCGGCGCCTGCTTTCAGCCTGCCCACCCACACAGCTGCTCTGGGCCAGTCGTTGTTGCTTTGAGTGCTGACGAAAACCTGCCTTCCTGTGGTTCCTGTGGTTCCTTGCTCCCCAAACCGCCACCCAGCTTGTGTTCCTGACTCCAAGGTCCCATCTCCAGGCTGGGAGTAGCCACAGCTGGGCCTGAGGGGTCCACATGGGGAAAGCTGATCCTCTCTGTCCTGGCCAGCCTCTCCCTTTCAGGCCAAAGCAGCAGTTAGATGGTGCCACCTGCTGGTCTCTGGGAACAGGCCAGGGAGGATAGGCTGTTGTCCAGGTTCTCTGCTGCTCTGGGCTCCAGGGGGGCCAGCCATTACTTTGGCACTGGCCCTCAGCTTCAGGCTACAAGATTGCTAATAGCTGATCTGTAGCGGCCTGGACCACAGCTCCAGCTCTGGGCCCCTCCCTAGTCATTCCTGCTCCTTTCTCCAGGACCGCAAATCCTTGCTTTCCTGGCTATGTAACATCCCCCTCCCCCCAAAACACACACCTAGTTCTTTAACCTTTTAAGAAGCACTGATGGCCGGGTGCTGGTGGCTCACGCCTATAATCTTAGCTGCTCAGGAGGCTGAGATCTGAGGATCACAGTTCAAAGACAGACTGGGCAGGAAAGTCTATGAGACTCTTATCTCCAATTAACCACCAGAAAAACGGAAGTGGCGAGGTTACTCCAGTGGTAGAGCGCTCACCTTGAGCTGAAGAGTTCAGGGACAGCGCCCAGGCCCAGAGTTCAAGCCCCATGACCAAAAAAAAAAAAAAAAAAAAAGCATTGCCTTCCAGAGGTGGTTAGTACCTTATACCATAGAGAAGGAAGAATTCTAGCTCCTTGCTAAAACCTGACACGCAGGAACCAAACAAAAGAGCCTCAGTGACCCAAGAAGATTGCCATCCACTCTGCAAACCAGAAAGCAATTTATGAAAAAAAAATACTTTATTCAAAACCAGTTGACTCAAATGTGTGGCCTATATATATATATATATACACAAAGTACAAAAGAATCCCTCTTTTTATCCCCATGTCCCTTCAGAAGTTTTAAAACCTGGGACTCTCAACTTTCTGCCAGGAGCTGCCCCGAGCTAGTGTGGCCTCAGAGGGAGGAGCAGGAGAGGTTGGAGTGAGGCTTTCCCTGACCACAGCCTATTATGCAACTGTGTGACGCCTGTTCCAGGTTCCACCACCCAGCAGGGTGCAAAAAGATCAGCTTTTCCTCCACAGCCTGCAGCTGGTGGCTGGTTCTGCTGCAGCTCCCCACCCCATCCTGACCCACAGCCTGCAGCTGGTGGCTGGTTCTGCTGCAGCTCCCCACCCCATCCTGACCCCCTGCCACTTCCCTGCAGGGAGATCATCAACCCTGCAAGTCTCAGACCCCTGTTCATCCACCATGTTCTAGGCCAGTCCTTCCCTTCTTCCTGGCAAAGCCAAGTTGCAGACAGAGAGACCAGGAAAAAAAGCCAAAGCTTAGGCATGGTGGTTCACATCTGTAATCCTAGCACTTGGGAGGCTGAAGCAGGAGGATGGTGAGTTTCAGGCCAGCCAGGATTATATAGGGAAGGTTGTATCAAGGAGAAGAACAACAAGGAAGAAGGAGGAAGGAGGAAAGAGGAGGAGAAGGAAGATGACAACTGGCAGGATGGTAGACTGGAGGCATGGTTCAAGTGGTAGAGCACCAGCCTCAATGAGCAAGCCAGCTGAATGGGCACACAGCCCTGAGTTCAAACTCCAGTACTGGCATAGAGAAGGAAGAGGAGGAGGAAGGACAGAGGGGTTATAAGAGTGAGATATGAGCTGGGCACCAGTGCTCATACCTATAATTCTAGCTACTTAGAAGGCTGAAATCTGAGGTTTGAAGCCAATGTAGGCAGGAAATTCTATGAGACTTACCTCCAGTCAACCACCAAAAAGGCAGAAGTGAGGCTGTGGCTCAAGCAATAGAGTGCTAGCCACGAGCACAAAAGCTCAGGGACATTGCCCAGGTGCTGAGTTCAAGCGCCAGGACTGGCACAGACAGAGAGAAGAGAGAGAGAGAAAGGAATATGAGAAGGGCATTTCAGATTTGAAGCCCATGCTCTGGTTCAAGGACATGAGGCCAAGCAACTCTGTACACAGAGCAGCTCAGACAGCTCCGACTCCAATGAACCCAACTTGAATTGTTATAGCCTAGACACACTGTGGCGGGGCGGGGGGGGGGCAAGGGGGGAGGGACTTTCTGCAGAGGGGAAAGCAGGAGACCACCACATGCGCATGAGGACAGATGCACACTCAATACACATATATGCATACACAGGAGGCTTCTAGCTCAGGAGTAGTAGCCTTTCCCTATCTCCCTTCTTCTTCTGGAATAATTTCACTTAAATAGCCACTGAGCAGAGAAAGGATAGGTTTGGAAGGGCCAGTTTGCTTGCAATGGCAGAAGCCCTGTGTCCCATGACATTTAGACCCAGGAGAGATCTTGTCCTTGGAGACCTTGATCTGAATGAACAAAAGCTATTGCTGCTGCAACCACATAGCTAGGACAGCAAAAGTGAGACAGGCACCCCTTGTGCACAAGCAAGCGTGCATGTGTGCGCACGCGCGCATACACCCACACACACAAACACACACACACAACATAATGCCTGCAAAGGTGTAAGTATGCAGGGCAATACTACAGGCATAACTGATAAGGACTATTCAGGTTGAAAGTTGTCTCCATAGAGAATCATTCACGACAAGGAGCTTCTAGCAGAGGTGAAGAGGCCAGCAGGTGGGGAAGGGTGGGGGTCAAGACTGTCCATGGGCCGCCGTAAGAGTTCCTCCACATGCCGGGCCACATCCATGGTCTCATCCAGGTCGAATTCTCCGTCCTGGTCCAGGACAGGATCGGGGCTGAAAAAGAGAAGATGTAAGATGAACTCCTGGCCTGCCCCCTTCACCCAGCCCAGAGGTTAATGAGAGCAGGGGAGCTCTTCTCTCACCCCTCCCCTCCCCCAGCTGGGTAGCTGCCAGTCATTGGCTCCCTGGGAGATGCTCCACTTCCACCTGCATGTCTTGCTACCTCACAGGATGATCTCGAAGGAGTTCATTTCCTCTCCTCTTGCTCCTTGCATGTTGATGCTCTAACACCCATGTGCAGGGCAATTCGATTGAATGTCAGCATCACTAAGCATTCTATCTAAAGGTAGATAGCTACTCCATTCTACAGAGGAGGAAACTGAGGCCCAGTCCTGTCAGGAAACTTGCCCTGAGTCACCTGAGTCAGGGTTAGAATCTGGGTCTTTGTGACTCGCACAATGTGGTGGTCCCACTTCCCTTTGCTGTCTCCCAGACCCCAACATGTCCAGTCCAGGCCATGCACAGCTCAGACGGAACTTAATATTTCACCCTGCCTCTACATTACAACCACCCCACCGATAGCGACTCTGGGAAGCGGAGATGTGGCTCAAGCACTGGCCTTAAGCACAAAAGCCAACAACAAGTGTGAGTCCCTGAGTTCAAGCCCCAGTACTGGCATAAAAAAACAACAACAAATGAAGCCAAATCAAAACCCTATTAATAGCTACTCTGTACCAAGTCCTTCCAACAGCTTCACCTATGAGATGGTTGTTCTTGCCCACCATCCTCATTTTTTTTTTTTTGGTTGGTCGTGGGGCCTGAACTCTGGGCCTGGATGCTGTCCCTCAGCTCTTCAGTTCAAGGCTAGAACCCTACCACTTGAGCCACAGCGCCACTTTGGGCTTTGTCTGCTTATGTGGTGCTGAGGAATCGAACCCAGGGCCTCATGCCTGCAAGACAAACACTCTACTTCCCACCTTCCCAGCCCACCATCCCCATTTTTTCAGCTAAAGACACTATCAGAGAAGCTCAGTAATTTTCTCAAGGTCACAGAAAGTACCAAAGGGAGGATGGAATCCTAGTATAGCGATGACCTTACCCTCCCCAGCACAGGCCTCCCTGAGTGGTCTCAGATCCCCAGGATCTTTCATTCCTTTTGCTTACCAGCCCTGCCCCACCCCCACCCCCCGCCCAGGGGACCAGCTGCAGCCAGGCTCCCAGTGCCTCCCCACGGACCCCCACAAGAACACGACCTACTTCTGTGGGTACATGTTGTAATGAGTCTGGGGGCACACTGCTGGGGAGGGCGCCTGGTCCATGTACGTGGCGCCGGCCCCGGCATCTGCAGACGCGTTCACAAACCTGCAGAAGGGAACAGAATGAGGCCAGTGGCGCTGATGTGGGGCGTGGTGACGTCATTTGCAGCGTGTAGAAGGACAAGGTGCCCCACTGAGTCCTGGGGATCTGGTTCTAGTCATGGGGCCCTGGATGCTGATGAAATATGACTAAGCCTAGGGATCCAAAAGGGCTGATCAGGTTCACAGGGGCTCAGGGATGCTGGGCTCAGCAGGGGAGGGTGGCCATGTTGGATGTTGGGGACATAGAAGGAGGAGGAACAGGAGACTGGGAGTGGGTGATACTTACTCAGGAACCACTTGCTTGATCTGTGGCTTCACGTATCCGTCAACTGCTTTAGCTGCCAAGGCAAGAACCATGGTGAAAAGAAAGTAGGAGAGAAACTTGTCTCTTGCCTCCGGCCAGATGACCCTGAGAACTCTCCTGCATAAACTTTCACCAAAACTCTCAAGGATGGCTTCCACCCCTTCTCTTTTCCTTTACTTCCGCTGACCCTGTCCCCACTTCTGCCAAAGAAACAGCCCAAGAAGAAGAAGTAATGTCACAGTCCCACAGAGAACTGTAACAGGTGGAGGAGGACATTGTGCACTGCAGTTGGAGGAACGGTGAAAACCATTGGTTAAGAGGGAGCAGAACCAGGTGCTGGTGGCTCATGCCTATAATCCTAGCTACTCAGGAGGCTGAGATCTGAGGATCATGGTTCAAAGCCAGTACAGGCAGGAAAGTCCATGAGACTCTTACCTCAAATAAACCACTAGAAACCCAGAAGTGGTGCTGTGGCTCAGGTGGTAGAGGGTTTGCCTTGAGCTGAAGAGCTCAGGGACAGTGCCCAGGTCCAGATAAATAAATAAATAAATAAAAAGAGGGAGCAGAAACGGGGTGCTGCTAAGTCACACAATCCTAGCTCAGGAGCCTGAGATATGAGAATTGCAGTTCAAAACCAGCCTGGGCAGGAACATCTATGAGACTCAAGTGGTAGAGCACTAGCCTTGAGCAAAAGAGCTCAGGGACAGTGACCAGGTCCTGAGTTCAAGCCCCAGGACAGGCACCAGAAACAAAGAAAAGGAGCACAGTCAGGCACTCATGGCTCACACCTTAATTCTAGCAACTCATGAGGCTGAGATCTGAGGATAGAGATTGGAAGCCAGCCCCAGCAACAAAACCCATGGGACACTAATTTCCAGTTAACAAACAAAATCTGGAAGTGGAGGTGTGACTTAAGTGGTAGAACACTAGCCTTGAGTGAAAAAGCCAAGGGCTAATGTGAAGGCCCTGAACCAGGACAAAAACAGGGTGGAGCACTATCTGTGGGTGGGGATTATCTGGGCTCCTCCCCCAACTTTGCCACCTCTTCCTCTAGGGTTCAGGAGCAACACCCCAGCTTTTGGCTCAGCAGAGGAGAAAGCTGGGATGGATTTCACTTTCCTGCTGCTCAGGTGTGAACCCTGTAATCCTTTTCTTCATCACAGACACTAGAACTCATAGGGAAATGGCCTCCTGAGCAAGTGCCCCGGCCTGGGGCTCAGTCTAGAAAGGAGAGAAGAGCCCCCCACCAGGCCTAGGACCCACCGAGCACAGGAGTGTAGTACTTGGAGAAGACCTCATCCTTGGGGCGGTCAGGAAACACATAGATGAGATAGTTCAAGTCCCCCAGTCGATCAGCCAGGGACCGGATGGAGAAATCCCGCGTGGTGAATGGCTTCAGGTTCCACAGATTGCGATCCGCTGTGAAAGGCACAACTCATTCCCACAAGCCCAGCCATGGCAGGGGGAAAAGGGGACCCCCACCTGGATCACAAGTATAGTGTTTTTAAGAAAGGTTGCTGCAGGGCTGGGAAGGTGGCTCAGTGGTAGAGCGCTTGCCTTGCATGCATGAGGCCCTGGGTTCGATTCCTCAGCACCACACAAGCAAAAAGAAAAAAGCTGGAAGTGGCGCTGTGGCTCAAGTGGTAGAGCGCTAGCCTTGAGCTGAAGAGCTGAGGGACAGCACCCAGGCCCAGAGTTCAGGCCCCACGACTGGACACCCCCCCCCAAAAAAAAAAAAGAAAGGTTGCTGCAAAGTGTGGCTTTTGCTAGCTGACCCTGGAAGCCCAGCCTGCATGCATGTCTGTTCATAGAAGTGGATACTGGAACATTCTACTCAGCCAATGGGATGAGTAGACACCCCCACAAGACTGGTCATGGCTGAGGGCAGACAACTTAAAGGGACTCGCCCAGTACTTCTACAGTTTAGGGGAGCGTTCAGTGATTTTACATTCTCTGCCATGGAGAATGACAGGAAAGGGCTACATATTCAAGCAACATTCTTCCCGCACTCTGAGCTCTACTCTTGCCCTCTCCCCTCCCCCAGAGAACCTTCTACAGAGACAGGCCTGGTGGACAGGGGGAGCATGGGAACAGCAGATAGGGTCCCTTTTACTGGGCCATGATGAGCAAAACGTGCACTCACGTGAGTCAAATTTCCAGGCGATGGTGATGCCCCCGATTTCTGAATCGCTAAAACGTAACAGGAAGGTCCCATCTGGCTTGTTGATAAGCAGGTCGTGGGCCTGTTGCTTATTCACAAAACCTAGGATGGCGCTGGGTTACACAGAGCATTTGGTGTCATGGCTGCTGTCTCTGGAATCCCCCCCAACATGACCTGTCACCAGAGCCTGTGCCCCAGTCCTTACCCATCATTCCAGTGGGGTTTGTGATGCTTCTTCAACACTTCCATCACCCCGTCAAACCACTGCCAGAAGGTGTAGTTCCAGCCAGGCAGGTTCTCCTGAGAGCCCCAGGAAACCAGCATCAGGAGTCACCGAGGCCCATGAATCCGGGCCCTTTAGCCCCTACCAGGCCTGCTCTCACTTCCTCCAGCTGGCCCCCAGCAGTCCATAAACAATCACAGCCCCTTGCTGGTGTCCGAGGGAGTCAGAGTGAACTCTCCCCATGTTTCTAACACAGGAATGTGCCACAATCCCTTGGGTAGGAGCTGTAAAGAGTTATCCAGGCTGGACAAGCCTTTTACGGACATTCCTGCCCCATCCCCTCATTGACAGCTGGGCAAAACTGAAGCACAGAGAGTAGAAGGGACCCAAATTAGTTCAATTAGATCTTCAAATTAGATCTAGGATTGGACGGAAGCTCTGGGTTTCGTCCATAATTTTGCTTTGGCTTACTACACCAAGGGCACAATTCCTTATGATCCCTGGCTTACATTTCTTTCTTTCCTTTTCTCTCTCTCCTTCCCTCCTTTCCATCCTTCCTTCCTTTTTGTGTTGCCAATACTATTGCTTGAACTCAGAGCCTAAGCTCATTTCTTTAGATTTTCTGCTGAAGCCTGGTTCTCTGCTACTTGAGCCATATCTCCACTTCTAGCTTGTTGAGGGTTAATTGCAGATAAGAATCTCACAGACTTTCCTGCCCAGGCTGGCATTGAATCACAATCTTCAGATTTCAGCCTCTTGCTACGATTACAGGCCACGGGTGCCCACCTCTTGTCTACATTTCTTTGGCGTTTGAGCCCCCATCTCTCCTGACTCTTGGAGAGGGTGTTTGGGGATGGAGGCTGGGACATAGCTCTGGACACAGCTTGTCAGAACCCTGCTGATAAAGGCAGGTAGCTGGCAGCCGCTTGCTCACCCTGTTGAACTGAGACCAGGACACGGACATGCTGCTGTAGTCCTCCAGGTGGGCGCTGCTGCTGTTGAACAGCTTCTGTGCCAGGAACACGAGGTTCTCCTTGGTCAGGCCCCGGTTGCTCTGCACTTCAGCCTTAAATTTCATGTTGAGCGCCTCGCACAGCTGTGGCCACAGCACTTTGTCGGGCACAGCAAATGGCACCCTGCCCTGAGAGGGAAGGAATAAAGGGGAAGAGAAGACAGTTGAGGGAGAAATGTTTACACCCATGTCACCCCCACCCAGACCCAGAGCCACCCACTAAGAAACGGGAGATGTTCAGAGACCCAGAGAGAGAGGGGGTCTGAGAACCATCCAGAAAGGAGACACAAAGAAAGACAAGGGAAAGAATAAAAAGAGGGACAGGAGAAGAGGAAGTGTGAGCCAGTGGGATTAAGACCCAGACCAGGACAGTTGGACAGAGATGAGGGATCTCAGCCATAAAGCAAAGTAAGAGCAGCTCAGAGTCCAGTTCAGGATCCTAGAACTTAGCCAGACCTCGGCTGCCCTTCTCAGCTCCCCCTCAGCTCTGCTCTGGTCCTGGGGTCTGAAAAGGCTATTCAGCAGGGCCTTGGGGAATTAGGACCCTTGGGAATGTCCTAAGGCCTGAGGGGGGCAGAGGTGGGGGGGGAAGGGCAAGTGGAGGCTCCCTGGGGACTCACTGGCTCTGCAAAGGCATTGTCCCACAGCACGGTGGCAGTAGCATTGTGGTCTTGGCTGCCATGAACAATGACGACCACAGGTAAGGACAGCGTCTATAGAAGTCAAAGGAATAACTGTTGGCAAGATGTGAACAGCATTTTTCCCTCATTCCTCTCCTACCATTCCAATCGCAAGCCCTGCCCAAGAATCCGATGCACAGGCAAACCAAAAGAACATCCCATTTCTTCTCAACCTACTTGTCTAAGTGGTATGGACTTAAAAGAGCATGGCGGGCCGGGCGCTGGTGGCTCACGCCTGTAATCCTAGCTACTCAGGAGGCTGAGATCTGAGGATCGCGGTTCAAAGCCAGCCCGGGCAGGA